TAAGGCTGTTGAGAACACACCATACGAGCTATGGCGTGGGACAAAACCGAATTTGTCATACTTGAGGATTTGGGGTTGTGATGTTTACGTTAGACGCCTCATGACGTCTGGTAAGCTAGATTCCAAATCTGACAGGTGTAAATTTGTGGGATACCCTAAGGAAACGAAAGGGTATGAGTTCTATCATCCGACCGATAACAAAATCTTTGTTGCTCGGAACGGAACTTTCCTTGAGAAGGAGTTTCGCTCTGCTATTTCTAGTGGGAGAAAGGTAGACCTTGAAGAAATTCGAGAACCACAAGAAGAGATCTCAATAGCAGTGGAACCCGAGCGTCAAGGTTTAGTATCTCGACCGGCTCAGGTTTTACCACGTAGGTCAGACCGGATGCGTAATCCTCCGGTTAGATATGGGTTCCTTGTATCTGATGAAGGGGACGTCTTACTGGTAGACCAAGGTGAACCTGAGACCTACCTCGAGGCAATCACGTGCCCCGAATCCGAACAATGGCTTAATGCCATGAAATCCGAAATGGAGTCTATGTACACAAACCAAGTCTGGACCTTGGTTGATGCGCCCGAAGGGATAAAACCCATAGGGTGCAAGTGGATTTTCAAAAGGAAAACAGACGTAGACGGGAAGGTTCATACCTTCAAAGCTAGATTGGTAGCAAAAGGTTATAGACAAATCCATGGAATTGACTATGACGAAACCCTTTCTCCAGTTGTGATGTTGAAGTCCATTCGGATAATGCTTGTGATTGCAGCGTTCTACGATTACGAGATTTGGCAGATGGACGTCAAGACGGCTTTCCTTAATGGGAACCTCAAAGAGGATGTCTATATGACACAGCCTGACGGTTTTACAATTGCTGGTGAATCTTCCAAAGTCTGTAAGCTACAACGGTCAATCTACGGATTGAAACAAGCATCTCGGAGTTGGTATATACGCTTTGATGAAACCATCACTAGTTTTGGTTTCGAGAAGAATTCTGACAAGTCTTGTGTTTACAAGAAGGTCAGTGGGAGTGTGATAGTATTCCCAATCCTATATGTCGATGACATATTGTTAATGGGTAACGATGTTCCTGCTCTCACATCTGTAAAGACTTGGTTGAGCGAGAACTTCGCCATGAAGGACTTGAGGAATGCTAGTTATGCCCTTGGCATAAGAATCTACCGTGATAGGTCAAGAAAGTTGATAGATCTATGTCAAAGTACATATATAGATAAGGTCCTTGATCGATTTAGCATGTCTAACTCGAAAAAGGGATCCTTATCCATGTTACCTGACACAGCTCTTTCCAAGGGCCAGAGTCCTTCTACTCCCGAGCATAAGGAACTCATGATGAAAGTCCCATATGCTTCTGCAATTGGTTCCATCATGTATGCCATGATATGTACTAGACTTGATGTCTCATTCGCTTTAAGCGTGACCAGCAGATACCAGGGGAATCTAGGTGAAGCACACTGGACAGCGGTCAAGAACATCCTAAAGTATCTTCGGAATACTAAGGATGCATTCCTGGTATATGGAGGTGAGGAAGAGCTGAAAGTGATCGGTTACACTGATGCCAGCTTCCAAACCGATCGAGACGATTACAAGTCACAAGTAGGGTATGTGTTTTGTCTGAATGGCAGAGCATTTAGCTGGAAGAGTTCTAAAAAGGACACAACCGCCGATTCAACTACAGAGGCTGAGTACATGGCTGCTGCTGAAGCAGCAAAGGAAGGTGTTTGGATAAAGAAGTTCATTTCTGAACTTGGAGTGGTTCCTAGCATTAATGACCCAATCCCGTTGTTTTGCGACAACACTGGGGCCATTGCACAGGAAAAGGAACCACGATCTCACAAAAAGACCAAGCACATTGTACGACGTTATCACATCATTTGAGAAATCATAGACAGAGGTGATGTGGAGATTTGCAAAGTAGGAACAGACGAGAACATAGCCGACCCCCTGACAAAGTCCTTGAGAAAGCTAAAGCATGAGGGTCACACTAGGTCAATGGGCATTCGACCGATGCCAGATTGGCCATAGTGCAAGTGGGAGATTGTTGGAGTTGGTGCCCTTATGGCCAACTGCTGTTGTAATATCTTAGATATTTTCTATCATGTATAGGCAGATGCATTAAGTTTACAAACATCTCATGTTAATGTAAACTCTTAATTGCATTCCTAGAATTATATTATAAGATGTTTATCAAAATGAGTCTTCTGATGTTGAGACTGACATCTTGTCACTTAGTATAATTCTGAACGGTCTATAGTCGAAGCATTAACGAGAGTGGGATATCGTTAGTGCGCGTGAGACTAGTGAGAGTTAGATGTTTGACCTAGTGTCTTGGTCAATGACGGAGTGTTCGCATCTACTCTCGGACAGATATTATCGTTAATAATAGGATGCCAGACCCACCTTAAGGGCATTGCCTAGACTTTTAGTCTATGCTCTAAGTGTCCTTAATGCGACTATTGGTATAACGATCCTCAGACTTGAAGTATTATGTTTTTTGAATGTGTGAACCCGCATGCTTTGATTCATTGTCCTAAGCCGTATGAAAAAAGGATGGTACACAGGCTTTGTATTGGGCATGCCGCTGCACATATTCGAAGACGTAGATTACGTACAAAGAATTTGTCACTGCTACTCAAGCAGAATAATGTCTTGTAGGAGCCCACTGATAAGTATGACTGAAGAAATGCATGGCCATGCTGAGATGAGTTTAGACATCTGTTCTCATCAGTCAGACTTGTTAATCAGTAAATAACTTAATGGCTACAAGTTGGATATTTTATATCCCTTGCACTAAGTTAAGACATTGGGACAAAAGGATCTACGTTATACAAAGTCTTAGTCGTAGAAAGGTTTTGACGGAGCAAACGTCT